AGAGAGAGAGAGAGAGTACATAAACAATTTAGAGCGGTTACAGAATTCGTGTTTAAGGCGATTTAATTGTGGGTTACGTTGTAATCATGGTAAGATTTAGACATGAAAAGATCGCTAGAATCGTTAAATGCTTAAAATAAAATAAGGCAAAAATTTTATCAATCAGCTGTAGCGACTGGCAAGGAGATCAGTTTCTCCAAGATGTTTGTTAAGAATAGTGTATGAGAATTACAGTCGAATGTTATGTGTATGATCAACGGGAGATCAAATGTGGGGAGTGCGATCGCAGTGATCTTTACCCAAAGTGGGCTTATTTTTTAGATACAATCTCGTTGCCTTCTTTCGAGCATGAGAGCCGGTATTTATACACCACAAAGGTGTCGGTGATTGACGATCAGAGTGATTGTCAATCTTCCCAAGAAGCTTTTTCGGGTGATTGACGTGTCTATTGAGTGATCGACAACCTTAATGGTGATTGTATGGGCCGAATGTGGAGTGATTTTTATGGTCTTGGGCTTTGTTTGTTACTTTGGCCAAGATTAAAATGTGGATCACATCACTTATTGTGATCGAATATTTTGAGTACGAACAAGTTTAAAAATAAAAAATCCCTAAAATTATTAAGAGTATGCTCGGATATAAATATTTTTGGATTTGTTTGGATTTTTTGGTTTGATTTGGTTAATTTTAAAAGAAGTGGTATGATTAGTTGTTAGTGGATATACTAAAATAATATTTAAAATAAACTAATTAAAGTTGATTTGATGTAAAAGTAGGAGATGAGCGAATTGAAGCGATATTAGTTAAAATTATGTGAGTGGTGTTTGTCCTATTTTTGATATCTTTTTTACCCCCGCTTTTAGGAATTTTTTAGTTCTTTTGGTCAACTAGTCGTTCGTTTCGCGTGTTTGTCGTTTATTTCTCGTTTTCGATATTTTATGCTCTCTTGCCTGTTTTCGTGTGTTTTTCTTTCGTCTTTGGTGGTGTGCAGAGTCAGGTTTTTCATCACACGTTTGGAGCTATTCAAGTAACCGAGTAACC